GGGGGGAAAAATAGACCACGCCTACTTCATTTTATAGTGAGCCATAAATTCATTTTTTTTTTTTCAAAATTTTTGTAACACACAAAAGTAAATTTCAAAAACCCCATAAAATATGTAAATTCACGGACTGTTTCAAATTCGGAATACACTTAAGCATGTTCGTTTGTCAATCTGTCCGTCTGAAAAGCTACTGTTCGCAAAAATGAAGATACACAGGCCTATAAATTTGCGAAGGAATTTGAAAATGAGTCAAAGTTTTTCTAAGAACGCGCCCACAACGCTTAGGCGCCTATGCAAGAGAGATGGTGAACACCTTTGCTTTCCATGTTTATTACATATTACGCATAAAGTACAACACTGGAAAAAATCATCCTCCCCTATCCAATATTTTAGAGCAGGAAAATGTAGTTCTTTTCTTTTCTTTTCTTCTACGATCACGATAATCGGTATAAAAACGATTCGGTCACAATCGATATAAATAAATTTTCTTATTTGCTTAGCTCATGTTTCTTAGATATCACAAATCGGTGTTGATTTGAGAAACGATCTTACTGCCATTAAAATTTTTTAACTAATATGATTAATTAATTTAAGTTTAATGGAATGGCACATTTTGGAAATAAGGCAACGATGAGGCAACTTGACATTGCCATCACGTTATGAAAAATGCCGCCTAAACGACTGCGTAATTTATTTAATTTTATGTAGGGACTTTTCATAAGCGATTTCTTCTTCTTTCGCTTTAAACAATTGAAATAATTTTCATTATATTGCAGTATTCTCTCTTTCTCTCCGTTAATGTCATTTAAAATGCAGACGTGTTTGGATTACAGTCAAATTTTGTTTGTTTGTACACCCTTTCGAGTTTTGCATGTTAATAGAACTTCACTGATCCGTTTTTGCAATTTTTTTTTTTTATATTACATTCATTTTACTAGTTTGTGTGTGTGTTTATGTGTATGTGTGTGTGTGTGTGTGTGTGTTTGTGCATGTGTGTGTGTATATATATATACTGCAAATTTGCCCAGAGTTTACACATATCTAACTGCACAAATTTTTACATATTATTTTATTATATGCATTAGTGTTGTTGTTGTTGTCTTTATGTTATTATAATACACATTATGTTTACATTGTTATTATTGTAACTGACTACTTTGCTAATGGACTTTCACTATTCATACATGCATGGGACGAGTATTCTTTTAATATCTGAGATGGGATAATCTTTGCTCTTATTTCTCATTTAATTTTTTCATCACCAACACGTAATGGGAATGATTTATGCACAAAATTTCATGTTGACGATGATTGATTGAATTTACATAAAAAAAAAAAAAAAAAAAAACAAAAGGTTTTCTGTTCAAATTATGACTTCAACCTAAAAAAGTTTCCCAGGAAGGTCGAAAATAATGTCAAAGTTTTGCTGCCCTCCTTCGGTCAGTTAACAATGGCCCTAAGGTGCGACCGCAATCAGCAAAAATATGATAATTTTTTGCCTTTTTTTTTTTTTTTGTATTTTTGCCCTCAAAAGTATGTATATATATATATGTATACATTTAGGTAACACATGCACACACGCGCGCACACACACACACACATAAATACACAAAACATAGACTGCAGAATTCTACTGCACAAATGGCGTAAAATTCAATTTAAGTGACTGTTCGGGATATATAGCGATTAAGGTGCATTTAACCAATCCGTCCATCCGTCCTTGCAGGATTTCCTCATTAAATTTTATCATTATGAATGTGTTCTTTATCATACTAAAAAATATTTTAGAAAATATTTTTGTAATTTAATCAAGTGATATCATTACAATTTAATTTCGTATCGCACGTATACGAGTATATCGGTGAAGAGGTCGACACAGTTAATACACACACACACAGGATGACATGTGATTTCAGTTCAGGTTGGTGTCACCGATTACAGCCCGAAGAGCTAGCGGTGTAGGGTATCCATTTGTGATACAAGGGTATATTAAATTTGTGCGAATGTATGCAACACCCAGAAAGACTTGAGATTGATCCACCTTTCATTCGGAAATGATTCTGAATCGATCTAAGCGCGTCTGTCCGTCTGTCCAACTTAGATTCTTATCTTCAATCTATAGGTCGCAATTGTTGAGATATTTTGAAGAAACCGCTATGCTTTGACTCAAGAACGAATTCTATTGAAAATAGTTCGAACTGGACCTTTTTTCAACCATTTCCCGTATAATGTCTTATTTTGAAAAGTCATTACATGTATATCTGTAGGATGGTGTGTTTAATAACAGGTCATTACATGTATATATTTGTAGGATGGTGTATTTAATAACAGGTCGGGCCCCTCAATAGGGTTTTCACTTCTTTATTAAATATATTCCTCTGTGAGAAAAGAGCAAGCGTCGTTATTATTATTCAGTTAATCGGATAACTTTTATGCTGGCGAACTTCCAATGTTTTTATCAAATTTGATGCCGATATGCCCGCAGTTACGGCCAGGAGAATCTTTCCCACAGATTTTCATTATTTTTTTCCAAATTTTAAGTCGATATATTCATAATTGCAACCAGGAGAAAGCTGACCATAGACTTATCATAAACGGAAACAAGGGTAGACGGATATACTTAAATCGACTTCCAGTATTTATACTTTATAGGAACTTTGAAGAATGCTTCTCGGTTTTGCAAACGGTTCATATGAAACGAATATATTCCCATTTATAAAATAATAGTCCTTAGCAGACATTGATCGGTCAGATTGTACATATTCTGTTATATATAAGTTTCGAAGCCATCTAAACGGGGAATGTAAAAATAAATCATTTATCTATTACTTTAAGATTTTCGATCTTAACGGTTTTAATTGGTTAGATTTTTCAACTTTTAATAGATGGGTTTTCTCAATTGCATTTAATTTTCTGAATAATATATATATATATATATAATATAATATATATATATATATATATATATATATGTAATAATATTGTTTAAGTAACTTTATGAGAAACATTAATGTCTTAACAGAGTACTGTAATCAACATTTAACTGTTATGTTAGTTGATTTCATTCATTTGTTCGGCTGCTATTCATAGGTTGGAGTTGATATCTTCAGTAAAACAGAAGCATAGCTTAGTGTAAATGCGCATGCGCGCATGAACGGTTCACTTAGAAGATAATCGCAAAAAATATGTGATAAAAATATTTCAATAAAACAAAAAAAGAAGAAAATAGAAATAAAAAAAAGAAAAAGAAAATATTATAAATTATAATCCTTAAAAACAAAAAAAAAAAATAAATAAATAAAAAAAGAAAATAAATTAAAATTATTCGCAGATTAGAATAAATATCTTTTTAACAAATAAAAGTTGAATATTTAAAAAAAATTTTTTTAATAAAACTAAATATTATAGCGCTCGCACCGGGGCCGGTCGGTGGATTATAAAGGCTAAAGATTTTTTTAAAATCATCTCCGACTCATACACACATAATCTAACGTTTCAATTGTGGATTACAACAAACAAAATGGTAAGTAATGTACCTGAGCTCGATTGAATTACAATCGCTTTTCCCTTCTTTCCATTAGGATCAGAAAGGAAATGCATAAGAATTTCTTAGGAAAGAAAAACACAAACACATTGTGATGGTTCATGTTGACTATATGTAATGTAAACAAAAAGAAAAATCCTATTCACATTATATATATATATATATACAATGAACTGAAAGGAATTAACGAAACCAACTATTAATGGTGTGCTAAGGAAAATGCCGCAAGCAATTCTTTTATTTCTCTTTATTTGATGATTCTTTCTATTCGATTAGGAAAACATGAACACGTGAAAGATTAGGATAGTTTACAGCGGGTAGCCAGTCTTTTGTAAGATTTAGTTAGAACAGAACACAATAGTCTCATGATTGATGAGTAAATGAGTTATTGCAACCAATCCGA